TCTTGCTGGTTCATCCTCCCCTCTCACTCTGGTAGTGTCCTTAACATGTTGGTGCATGAGGTTTTCCAGCACCACGTCCAACATCCTGGCTCTCCATGTTTCGGGACCCGCATGTGGCTCCAGGTTTTCCCAGTCAATCTCCCTGTGGTTGAAATCCCCCATAACCAGCAACTTTGCTCTGCTGGAGTGAGCTCTTCTTGCCACCTCAGCAAGTGTGTCCACCATTGCTCTGTTGCTCTCTTCATATTCCTCTCTTGGGCTCCTGCAGTTCTGTGGTGGATTATTCATCACTGCAATGACCACTTTGTGTTCCCCAGACTGAAGTGTACCTGCTATGTAGTCTCTTTCTCCCGTCTCATCTATTCCTTCCATTTTCTCGAATTTCCATCTGTTTTTTTACGAGCAGAGCAACCCCACCTCCCCCCCTGCCCCTTCTATCTTTCCTCATGATCTGGTATCCTGGTGGGAAGATTGCATCTGTTATTGTCTCCATGAGTTTTGTTTCTGTAATTGCTATGATGTCTGGGGACTTCTCATTGATTCTTTCTTGCCATTCCTCATGTTTATTCGTTAATCCATCTGCATTTGTGTACCAAACCTTCAACTTCTGTTCTAATACTGTAACTGTGGTGCGGGGGGTGGAAACAGAGGGATCGGTGTGTGATGGTTGGTTTGGATTGTTCAGTTGCCTTGGGGGTGTCGTGGCTGGAGTCCTTCTGCAGGTGTTTCTGGGGGGTGCGCTTGTCCTTCCATTTGATCCTGGGTTATTCTGCTCTCCTTTTTCATTTCCTCCCATTTCTCCTTTCGTTTTTGAACTCTCTCTTTCATTGTCTTCCTTTCGTCCTGTGTTCTGTCTCGGTCGAGGTACACACTCCGGAACTCCTGCTTGCCTCTCAGCCGTGCTTTCTCCTGCAGGATCATGGTTCGGGTTGATTCTGCCTTGAAAATTACTTTGAGAGGCCGATTCCTTTTCTTTGTAAACCACCCAATTCTCCGAAAATTTGCCACCTGGGTCATGTCCCCCTCGCCTATCACCTTCATGATGTCTTCAATCGCTTTTTTCTCCTCCTGCTTTCTTTCATCATAAGTTTCCCCTTTAGCTTCGTCTAGCCCATAGACAAACACGGATCTCTCCCTTTCCACCTCCCACTGTGACTCCCATTGCATCCTCTGATGTGTTTTAGTTCCTTCCCGTGGAGTGTTCCTTCCTTCAGTGTGTGTGTGTGTGTGTGTGTGTGTGTGTGTGTGTGTGTGTGTGTGTGTGTGTGTGTGTGTGTGTGTGCATCATATATTGGCGTTGCTCAGAGTTCTGTTATTATGCATAGTAAATCAACAGAAAGCACTAAAGACTCTAAACACGTTCACTGTGGGTTGCCATATGTTTGATCACGCACACCTGCAAGAACCACTAGGTAATTACACAAGTACAGGTAAACAATACCTGTCAGCGAGGTAGCCGGCAAGCAGAGGGCTGAAGATGGTACCCATCATGTAGATACTTTGGTATGTGGCTCTGAGGTGGTCTCGTTTACACACGAGCGAGAACTGGGAAAGACAATGCATTCTTAATTTTAATACAGAGAATAGTAAAAATATATGCAGAACGTTTCCTTCTATATAGAGCTTTATTAAATCATGACCTGATGAAGCTCTACACGTTGTCCCAATAAAAGCTTTTTGTACATACTTATAACCATATCTCTCCTCATTACGCCTCTATAGTTTTATTTAGCATACAATGTAGTTCAGTTTACGGACCAAAAGCAATTATCCTGCTTCTTTTCAAAGCTTGGTACAAGCTGTAGATACTACCAGTCTTTCCCGAGATGAGGCTAACAACAGTCAACTAACACAAAAGTACCTACAGCATTCGGTACAAATCAAGGAATGGCAGCAAATGTTAGGAGACTTGCCCATACATCCCGTCTTGTTAACAGTGGCTGTTCAGCATCTTAGTTTGGTTTACAGGTCAAATATTCATCGGGTGGTCCTGACATATGTTTGAGACATTTGTAGCCCAGTGCTCAGAGCGTTAGGTTCTGTCTCTCTGGAGGCAGTTTTATGCAGTACATGGGTTAGCTATCGCTCTCTGTCTCTCTGGAGACAGTAGCCTACAGACCTTGAGTTATATCTGTCTCTCTCTGGCGACAATTGTCTATACTGTATTGGTTATCTCAATCTGGAGACAGTTGTAAACTGTACATGAGTCAGTTATCTCTCTATCTCTCTAATTAAATATTAATATTTGCCAGTTCCTTTCCTAATATACCCGTACTTCCCTCTGTAATGAAGGTTAAAACTTCCTTAACTACTTACCTCTGTAATGAAGGTTAAAACTTTCTGAACTACTTCCCTCTGTAATGAAGGTTAAAACTTTCTTAACTACTTACCTCTGTAATGAAGGCTAAAACTTTCTGAACTACTTCCCTCTGTAATGAAGGTTAAAACTCTTAACTACTTACCTCTGTAATGAAGGCTAAAACTTTCTGAACTACTTCCCTCTGTAATGAAGGTTAAAACTTTCTTAACTACTTACCTCTGTAATGAAGGCTAAAACTTTCTGAACTACTTCCCTCTGTAATGAAGGTTAAAACTCTTAACTACTTACCTCTGTAATGAAGGTAAAATATTTTTTTAACTAATGAGACGAATTAAAATATTCTTTTAAGAGGAACTCTTCAAGCAGAATTACATTAAAGATGGAGATTAGAGATAAAGGATTGTGTATGCAGCTTCAGATATAATAAAACTTCTTTATAAAGTACATTTTGTCCTAAACTTGACTTAAGAAAAGTACATCAAGAGTTAAATACCACGAAAAAAGGCCTTCGCAGTACGAATTTTTTAACTTTAAATGTACCTTTTCAACTGCATTTGTAAAAAAAATCGTTCTCTTCAGGATAGTTTCATAAGAAAGCTTACTGTAATAAAGTATTTCAATACGCAACTTCGGGTATATGTACGTCAGGAGAGGCATTGTACCTCAGAAGTGAGAGTGCTGGTGAAGACTGAGGTGTCGAAGTCCCACTCAGTGCAAGGCTCATCCTCCAGACCCAGCGAGGATGACATGTTTGTCGAGTAGTAGCATGAGTCCCTGCCGGTGAGTACAACTTGGAGAGCACAATTAGGTGAGTACAATAATGTAATGAGTACAACTAGCTTGGTATAATTTCTTTTGTATAACTTGGTGAGCACAACTTAGCATAATCAAATCACAGAACGGATAAGGTTCGAATCCAAGCAGTTCATTGATTTGTTTGCAACCGAGTCATTACGATATCGTGAGTCCTGGCGAGCAAAACTCTGCGAGTACAAATAAGTAAAAGGTCAGTTTGGTGGATAGTGGAAGAAGAATTATTTTTTTAATCAAATAAAGCTCTAAACCGACAAGAAGTGCTCGAAGGAACGAGCCTCCATTTCTCTTTGCGCTAAATGACCCTCACGGGTTTACCGCTTCATGTATAACAATAATAATAATAATAATAACAATAATTTGTAAATTGAAAAGCAAAAATATTTATTGAATTATATTTTTGTTTAATAATGATAACAGCACTCGTGGCATGTGCTCCAAAGAGTTAATTATAATTAAAATTATTATTATTATTTTTATTATTATTATTATTATTATTATTATTATTATTATTATTATTATTATTATTATTATTATTATCATTATTATGAGTAGTGGTATTAGTAGTAATAATAGTATTGGTAATAATAGTAGTAGTTGTATTAATAGTAGTAGCTGGAGCATCATCACGTTGTACAACGATGCTGCTCCAGCCTCATTGTCTATGTGAGATATAATTTGAGTGTGCCTTGTTTATAATTTGCATAGTGCGTAGCTAAATGAGTTTGTTTCCCGTTATCCATTGGCTTTATCTTCACTGTTATGAAGAGCTAACTAGGTTTTTTGGAGACCAGCCTCCTAAGGCAAATTACATTAGTCTAAAACTCTAATGTGTACACCAGGACATATCTGATTAATTACTTTTAGCTTAAGGTGGAGCAACACAGTTTTTAAGAAATACAGGAATGGCAAGAGGAAAAGGAGACTAGATTAACAGCAGCAGAGAGAGCCGGACTGGGACTCTCGAAGACTGTAATTATTGTACATTGGGAGAATATGTTGTGATAACCAAACTGTCCAGACGTACCTCTTGGCCCTCCCTTTTCCCCGGTAATATTTCTCTTATATTTGTATAGTTATACAGTTAGCTCTTTTGTCTAGCGCCATCAGTTAGTACAGTACTTTTGTAAATGCTACTGAAAAAGGGGCATTGAAAAATGAATAGCACCTGCTATGAAGGCCGTTCATGCGCTATTTAATTTTGAATTTGTTTTGTAATCGTAATGACGAAAAATCGCACTATATCAAGAAACATTATAAAACAGCTGACTTTATTTGCGATTTATATTTCGTGTGGTAAGTTGTAAAACCTTTTCTTTGTAGAATCACTCTTTGGAGAGCAAAAATATATCCTAGTGATGATTAGCTCCTGTAGCAGTTCAGTTGTTCAGTAAAATGTGAATTTATAACATTTTAATAATCTTATTCGCATTGATCACCAATTTCCGTCTCTGTTACTATGGTCTGACCCTTCATTGTGATAAGATCGTGTTGAGAAAGGAAGAGCGGTTGATTCAGTGATGTGTAGATAGTGGTAAGCCAGTGATTTCTCAGGTCTGTTATATTAATTTAATAATTAGGTCACTGGGGATTTTGGGTGATACATAAGTGCCGGCCTGACAATAATAATAATAATAATAATAATAATAATAATAATATTATTATTATTATTATTATTATTATTATTATTATGCTGAAGCATTAAAACCGTATGGATTATTCATCGACTAGGTAAAGGGAGGATAGTATGCAACCAATTCTGATCCATAAAGGGACTAAAACGAGGACCGAAGAAGAATGACGGCAGAGAGGATATTCACTCCTAACCAAGACTAGCCATTACTAGAAGTCTCTGACCTTTCCAGCTAGAGAAAGAAATCATATGATCATGTGATATGATATTGCTTCTTCATCTTTGACAGTAATATGTTCTGTCTTATTTTCACCTCTTTGTGAGATTTAAACGATAGACAGCGTATCTCACTTGGATATCTGGACGATTTCTTCTGATTCAGGTGGGCGACAGGTGTAGTTGACAGCTGGGGCCAGGTATACTCCACTGATAAACTGTGGAGGCACCAGCAAAACCCCTGCGGGAGAAGAAACACACGTTGAAAAACAAGCAAGCATTTATTGGGACAACGTTTCGCTGTGAGTTAGAGCTTTCTCGTGACTTGATAAGGCTCTACATAGAGTGAAACGTAATTTCATGAGCTCTCCACAGAACGAAACGTGACTCTGAAAAGATCTATACAGTTTACGGTAATATTTATTATAGGGATTAGAGTATTCTTGATTGGTGGTCAAAAGGTTGTATATAGCTAAATGACTATTCCATATAAATTTTGCGAGGAAGGACGAAAAGGGGTCGTTCTAGGATGGATTGGAGAAAACTAGGGACTTGGACACCCAATAGGCTTGTGTAAGCATGTAACATAGGAGTGAGTGAAGGCGAGTGTTTTTTTATTCATGATTTGACGTGCTGTTAAAGTGTGACCCAAGTAACATTAATGAAACCGGTTACTCGGGCTTGAGTCCTGGAGGTAGGTAGTAATGTGCTTGAACTCAAAGGAGGGGTTGGAATACTGCAGTTCGGAGGATCATCTGAGCTACGATGTTTGCTCACCTCTGAAAGACAGTGACTGAATGAATGACAGTGAAAGAGTTTTCTTCTTTTTAGTGATACACTACCTCGGGGGAAGACTGCCGGTGTACTAAATAACAATAATAATAATAATATACTCGTTGAGGGATTTATCTCCCATTGCTTGTACAGTACACAGGGAGAGTGAATTTCTGTTTTCGTGATTAAAGTATCTTTTACTGGTGGTGTACATGCAGCTTTAATGACCCTCGTTTAGTCGACAGAATTTTAACGCAGTGATCAAATCTGATGTCCGGAAGGCAGGTAATACTCACAGAAGGAGGCAGCCAGGAAATATATAATGTTCCATTTACTAGTGCCGAGCTGGGTAAGAAGATCATCGAACTTGCTGTTGTTGCTCATCTTACTGCCTCAGGAACTCCCTGTCGACCGCACCAGTGATGGGGTGCTGATGTTTCCCTGACGAAGAAATAAGTGATGGAGCTTCTAACGCTCAGTTATAAGAAAACTCACATGTGAGCTTCACATCATTAGCCACATTTATTGTGCAGTTAAGAGTGTGCCTCAAGTCCTGTCTGATAAAGGTGAGAGTCTTCTACAAGTACTTGAAGTAGGTGAGACACAAAAGGAACTAACTGAAAGGGGCGAGATCATCTTAAACTACCTGAAGGAGGTGAGAAATTATAGGAACTACCTGATGGAGGTGAGACACTCCAGGAACTGTCTGAAAATGGTGAGATAATCTAGGGTCTTTGCGAAGGAGGTGAAAACCTCCATAAACTATCTGAAGAAGTCCTGAATCTCCAGGAACAATCTGACATAGGTGATACTCTCCAAGAGAAAGGCAAAATACTCCAGAAATAATTTGAAGTGAGGAAAGCACCCACTGCTTGAAATTAAAAAAAATGAGGCCTTCCAAGAATTTCCTGATCACTGTAAAGCAAATCAAACGAGTCAGATAATTCGCTTAACTTATTTATGAGCTCTCAATGTTAGTTGCTACACTAGCTCAAATGAACGCCTATTTCTTACCAAAAATTTATCAAAATTCACTGAATACAAGACTTTCACTCCAAGGTGACACAACGAAGATCATATTCAGAAGATAAGAGGACACCTCTGAGATGTGGATGACACTGTGGACAGCGTTTAAACAGTAGACAGACTGGCATTTAGACAACACAGGATGAAAGCATTGTGACAACAAGCAGATGGGTGCGTCTTGAACAGCACAAAGACGGCATCTTTCAGACAGTAGACAGACGGTAGCGTTCATGCAGCAGACAGATGAGTGTACTATATAAACAAGGACAGCTGTTCACTATGCCACAGATCTCCACCGGGAGAGGAGAGAGAGAGTGAGAGACAGCAGGTCTCTGCACTAGTGTTAAAGTGATACTGAGTAGTCCATCCCGTAAGCGTCGTCTTACTCTGGATTCTCCATGACCGCTAATGTATATACAACATAATCACTGATAATCATATATACCAATCATTCCATACTCAATACACCTCCCAGAAACAGCATCGCCCAGTGTACCACCAAACCGCATTAAAAACACGATATATATTTAAATATTACTTATTTTCTATGAGATTGTATTGAGCTTGGCACGGTGGCGCCCACGTATAATGAGTTTTTTGGAGATAATCTATAATTTAAGGATGTATAAAGAATAAAAGACACAAAACAGTATCTGGAATAATACACATAAAACCCGCACGATGAAGAGTGAAAATTATGACGTTTTGGTTTGACTTGGATCATTAAAAGTCACAATCTCCTATATGAGGGTTATTTATGCTCAAGGATGCATGTAAAATTGGGTACGTGAAGGATATATACATGCATTGGTACGTCAGGCATATATGTAAACATGAGAAGCATTAAGGTCATTCTCGGCTAGAGTGAGGAGAGAGGATGTCGGCTATTACGATGCTCAGCAAGTAGATCAAGGATCTCAGGTGCCAGACACACACAGATGTAGTGAGGGGAGACCAGCACACAAACAAAAATAATGTGAATTACAACTAAGAGTGCTAAACATTATATTGAAGGAGGAGACACTTGTGCAGCATTTGGGAAACTTTTCGCCAGCCAGTGGCATCTTCAGTCCAGTCTCAAGAAGATCGGTGAAAGATGAGGAGAATAAGGTTATCAGTCCCTCAGTCTGGAATCGATGTCTTCAGTCCCTCAGTCTTGTGAAAAGTATTGCATATGTTCGGAGTAGTGGCTTATATACAGCATCGATTCCAGTCTGAGGGACTGATCACCACATTCTCCTCCTCAACTTTTACCGATCTTCTCTGTATTTTACCGAAGAAGCCACTGGCTGGCGAAACGTGTCCTCAACAAAAATTCCCAAATGTTCCAAAAGCGTCTCATTCTTCAACTTGCCCATTTTCTAAACCACTACATCACATTCTATTAAACCAAGTATCGCTCTAAACAAAACTGAATCAAATCTGAAGATTTAGGGTAAACAATGATAAAAAGACTGCAAAAGAAAAAAAAAACTTGTTATTAATGCAACCAACCACTCGCTAGGGGGTTGATACAAGACTTCCAACCATCTGTCGGCTTTTAGCAAGTCACTAGGGACTAGTACCGAACTTGCACACGAAAATCACTCACTACGAAAGCAAAAGACTTGGCAGACGATGCAACATCCCCCCAATGAAAAGCAGGGGTGTCACTAGCACGTTAAGAGACCATACAATAAGTGTCAGGGGCCCGAGACTGTTCAACTGCCTCCCAGCATACATAAGGGGGATTACCAACAGACCCCTGGCAGTCTTCAAGCTGGCACTGGACAAGCACCTAAAGTCGGTTCCTGATCAGCCGGGCTGTGGCTCGTACGTTTGATGGCGTGCAGCCAGCAGTAACAGCCTGGCTGATCAGGCTCTGATCCACCAGGAGGCCTGGTCACAAACCGGGCCGCGGGGGCGTTGACCCCCGGAACTCTCTCTAGGTAAACTCCAGGTACCATGAACGCTGATGTATGAAAAGTGAGAAACATCTAAGGAAATATACGGTCAAATGAGATGTGTATATTTCAAAACAAAATGTCTCTCGTACCTGTGTTTCTTTTTTCTGTTCAAGTAGTTTGCCACCTTGCACAGAGCTAGGTAACGAGTCCTTGGGAACACACCCATACCACCTAGCACCTTCACCTGACCCATGAAGAGACTGTATATCCACCTGGAACACACAAGCGCATGCACAAGCACATAGACAATCATATATATAAAGGCACACACACACACACACACACACACAATGCAATGGATAAGGGAATACCTGACAGGGAGGCAGCAACGAGTCATGGTACGTGAAGAGGTATCACAGTGGGCGCCTGTTACGAGCGGGGTCCCACAGGGGTCAGTTCTAGGACCAGTGCTATTTTTGATATATGTGAACGACATGATGGAAGGCATAGACTCTGAAGTGTCCCTGTTCGCAGATGACGTGAAGTTGATGAGAAGAATTAAATCGGACGAGGATGAGGCAGGACTGCAAAGAGACCTGGACAGGCTGGACATGTGGTCCAGCAACTGGCTTCTCGAATTCAATCCAGCCAAATGCAAAGTCATGAAGATTGGGGAGGGGCAAAGAAGACCGCAGACAGAGTATAGGCTAGGTGGACAAAGACTACAGACCTCACTCAGGGAGAAAGACCTTGGGGTGACCATAACACCGAGCACATCACCGGAGGCACACATCAACCAAATAACTGCTGCAACATACGGGCGCCTGGCAAACCTGAGAATAGCGTTCCGATACCTTAATAAGGAATCGTTCAAGACACTGTACACTGTGTATGTTTGGTTTATACTGGAGTATGCAGCACCAGTCTGGAACCCACACCTTGTCAAGCACGTCAAGAAGTTAGAGAAAGTACAAAGGTTTGCAACAAGGCTAGTCCCAGAGCTCAAGGGAATGTCGTACGAGGAAAGGTTAAGGGAAGTCGGACTGACGACACTGGAGGACAGAAGGGTCAGGGGAGACATGATAACGACATACAAGATACTGCGGGGAATTGAAGTAAGATAGCGGCGTAGCGGCAGCGGCAGCAGCGACTTCCAAGCTCCGTACTTTTCTCCAACTACCAGAGCTACCAATGCTCCTATGATGACCTAGTTACAAGCAAAACTGCACTACCCAACGTAGCACCCAGAATGACCAAAGATTACCAACAGTGAAACCTACAAATCGAAAAAATAGAGATCAAAGGAAGACTGCAAACAAACCGAAAGCAACACCCCGCTGCCAGCCGAACAACGTAACCCTAAGCTTTGTATACTACAACTTCTTCTTAACTACAACAATTCCTGTAGTATTATGAGGCCAATCTAAGAGGAAAAAGCCCAAAGGGCCCGAAAGGGGAAAACAACAAAAATAAAACTTTTTCCAACAAGTGTAGTCGGGGGACCCCGGGCCCAGAACCCCCCCACTCCCCACCACTCAGGCCCACCCCCCAAAATAAAAAACAAAAAAACATGGCTACCCCCAGCCCATCCCCCCCTCTTTTCCCCCGGGATTCAACCCTCCATAGTCTCTCAGGTATGCCCAACGATCCAGATCCCCAAAAGTCATGCATCCCAATTTTATTATTAAAAATATAAATTCGAGAGACGCTAACAAAACAAGAACCAGGATGCAACCGAAAACAAAATCCCCAGTCTGAACAAAAGTTATCAACCGGAAAGACTAACTGTGACAAGACCATCCAAACAGTCAAGATAGCCATACCCAACAAATAAAATCTCTTAATACAAAGGTTGAGAAGGGGTAAAAAAATGGAAGAACAACTTAGTTAACTCAGTTCAGTGACTACGTTGCACTCCAAGAAGAAAAAACTGAACAAATAAACTATCGGACGAGTAATATATAACAGTCCTCTTTTCCCAGTATATGAACCAAAACAAAACAGTAAGAAACTACTCTTGCAGATCATAAAGACCAAACAAGTGTTATTGTACCAGTGTCAGAAATAAAAGAAGCCAGGTTTACTAGATCCCATGTAAAAATGTTTATGCTTAGATTCCACTCACTTACAGAAAAAAGACTTAATTATTGCATCTATTAAAAACAGAAAAGGTATACATAAAACGAGTGTCTTTCCAAAAAAAACGTCAGAACCTCCTGTATAGAGTCAGAAAACTTAAGCGAGAGAAATAATGACAATACGCCAATGCTTCAAACGGGATGGGAAAAATCTATTAGAGAAAACAAATTAGGTCAACTGTACACAAACACGAAAGAGAATGATCTGTCACGATTACTCAAGGGATACTAATCTTACAGAGAAATAACTAAACAATGTCTAACTTAAAGCCTACGTAAGTGTAGTGTACTTTTTGCTCCATTATTGTTCAAAATTCATTGTACAATCTCTTAGGAATAATAATCAACTACCTCAGTGTGTGATTTTACTAGTAAGGCATAAGTCACCTTAGGTGGATTTTTCTTATTTACTAATTGTTCGTCTTAAACTTAGCTGAATGATACTTCTCTTCCATATTACTACCTCAGTTTTTTAAATACATTTCAATTGATATTAACTTACAAAAATTAATAAATATCAATTTTTACTAACATTTCAATTTACTCCTTAACATTTTTGACATTTAATAACCATTACTGTCTAAGACCTTTACCTGTTTTAATACCACATTTCTATCCTAGATTACTCTTAATTACCTTGTATGCCATATAACCTCAATATAACTACCATGCAATATGAAGAAATAAACATATACTTTTTCACTTTTATTGTAATCATTATTAACTGTCTAAAAGTTTCTTAAACACCATATTTACCTACCAGTCAATTTTAACTTTTGTACATAAACATTATTTTATACTTCCCATAACATTGTGTAGCCAAATTTCAAGTTATTTTATAATCAACCCCAACCTTTATATTATCCCTTGTACCTGGTAACCTGTGTACCTGGGTACCTGCTACCTCTTACTGATCATATTATAACCAGGACATTACCATTGTTATTTTTACTATTATTCTTTGGTACTTAATTGTGAATTTTATTTTGCAATTTAAATCTAGTTTATAATCTTGATCTTGGTCAACCACCTATACCAAGACTCTAGTGCAATTGCAAGTACCCTTTCAATTGTATATTTATAGGATAAGTTTAATATTATAATTCCTACCATCTGTTCCATTTAATATTTTTAGTCCCTTATATATTTTCTCCTTTATTTTAGCTTTATATAACTATCCTAGTTTATATATCACCATTGGTTAAAAATAACAAGTGCTATTCTTAGGTGCTAAAAAGTAGAATAAGTTCACAATTTTGCCATTATATTCCAAGCTCCATTTATTTGATTACCACTTTATTGTTCACCACAACCTATAAGTTAGTCCCTTTTATAT